TCTCTCTCTCTCTCTCTCTCTCTCTCTCTCTCTCTCTCTCTCTCGTAATAATTATTTAATTTATGAAAATTGTTTTTTAGTGCAAATCTGAGAGTGATATCAAACCAACAGTGAATTTGTTTGGATGTCATAACCAAACAGTGGATCCGTTTGTAATCAAAGAGTTGACGACAACTGTTGAAACAAATTCAGTGATAATTGATTTTATTTTCGTAAAGTTGTACACAATTCTAGTCATTGTCTTAATTATAGCCATATTCTTGGCATTCATATGCTATCCATTCTTCAGCGGTTTAATTACCATATTCTCCACTAAATCGCAAAACATTTAACTGTTATTATAAAACTTGTGAACCATATTAAATGTAATACTAAAACAATAAATTGATTAATAATTCTATTATGATAAATAATTTTTTCGTTAACACTTAATTATACAGTTTAAAAAAGTTTAATTGTAATTTTAATACAGTATGTTAAAAATGCTATTAAAATTAATTATAATTTATTAAATAACCAGTGGTAAAATTTATATCTTGTAACATACAAGTTGTATTTGAGGTTAGTAAATAACAATAAACATTTTAAACATAATTATTTTAATTGTTATTTATAATTCACATTTTAAAGAAATAAATTTAGTAATTATGGCAAATGCAATAAATAGTGGGGCGTAAATCACCATGGTTGATGCAGAATTACATAGATTAGTACCATATGGGTAGGAAACGCAGTTGTGTTGATTATTGGTGATAATTTGACCATTGTAATACTTCTGTACCGCTATAGACTCATCGGCCGTACATTTCTATAAAAGTAATACCAAATTATTTATTAATCTAAATATTTTTTGTACTAAATTAGTGCCAATTGATACACATAACCAATATTTATATATAAATCATATAAATGTATATAACTTACGTGTATTTCATATAACTTTACAGTATAAAACAATAATTAATTTTATTTGATTACGGTGTTATAAATTACACAAATTAAGCTATTAATTATGATTAAAAAAACTGTACCTTGATAAATTGAAGTGTGCAATTAAAGGACTCCCATAATCGGCAACATGTATGCTTTTTACCCTCATCGGTGGTTGCATCGGGGTACTGATCCCAACGTATACCTTGCTCACACAGGTGCACATCTGCGTTAATTGTGTTTTTGCACGATGTTATTAGTTGGTCGTCCATCGCATCCATAATTGCCCCACCGAATTCTTGGTACCGTTCCTGTTGACACTGTCCATGGTCAATCATGTTGGCCAGTAATACAAACACGGTTATTATTGGGATTGAATTGAGCATAGTGTATTGTTGAGTTAGAACTAATTGTATTGTATAATTATAAGCAACTTTTAAGTAACTACTTATGGACTAAAGTTATTAATAGTGTCTCAAAATAGTTAACGTTTTGATTTATATAACGTATACTGACTTCTAGTGTGTATTAATCATTGGTTTTTAGCTATAATTTAGTGAATAAACCATTGTTTGTGCGGAAGTTGTTGTTTAGGTAATTGGTGTATAGTTTTGTTTACCGGTATTTATTATTTATTAGCACTAATTAAACTAAACTCACATTAATAAGTTGTTATGCAATACACAGTTGTATTATGGCCATCGTTTTGTATTAAATGTATCATGTTAAAAAAAATTGTATACTAATTTTTATTATAAAAATAATTTTTATTTTACTTTATAATATAAATTATGACATACATTGTATCTATTGAAAAAATATACTGTACTTCTTATCAATACTTTAAACACAATTGTCATAAATTGTTATTTATATTTAGAGATAATATTTTTTTTTGGGTAAACATAAAATAATGAATAATATTTATTTATGTTGTAATTATTATGTTATACTCCCGGAAGATATAAATGAAAGTGATAAATCATACGGTAAACACTGCACTAGCTATGATACAATTATTGATAAATCTTTGTAATTATTATAATTGTTATTTCTTAAGAAATGTGTATTTTATAATAAATTATTATCTTTATTACGAATTGTTGTACTTTAATAGTAAATTAATTATAAAAATAATTAAAAATTATATTTATAAAGTGTGCATAAATGATCTGCTATATTTTGATTAATACAATGTTGTATTTTTATAAATTAATTAATACAATTTTTAATTCTTTATTTAGATTGACGTAATTAATTTTTTTTGTTATGAAAAATGATAATGTTTAAATGTTTATGTATAGAAATAACAAAATTTACTGTATTTCATAATAAATTAATAGCTTTATTACAGAATATTCTACTTTAAAAGTAAATTAATTATAAAAAATAATTAAAATATTTAATTAAAAACTATACATAAAAAATGCTGCTAATAAAAAAATCTGTTTTATTTTGGTTAATACGTATAGCATAAAAAATAATTAATTATAAAAATAAACATCAATAAATGTAACTCCATTAAATTAAAACAAACAACACTTTGTTGCAATAAAAATGTCTAGATCAATAGTTGTATTGATTTTGTGCCTACATATGTGCTTATGTGCCTATTATGATGATCTATTAGATCGCAGTTTGGAGGGTAGCCAGGTCATAGCCCAGGCCACGTCTCAAAGTACAAGCATGTCATTATCAGGCGGCAACTCCTGGTCACACTCCCGGGCCAACGCAATCTATGGCGGGAGGGGTACCGCTATTTTGGAGGTCGATGGCAGTTCTCAATCAACCGCCCTTGCTATCGCCAATGGTCGTAATAGTATAAGGTTGTTTAAAACTTTAAATACTAGCTCATCAGAGATTGATAAACCTCTTAAAAATATTAATAATGCTGGTGATAATAATCCTAACACTACTGATAGTAATGGCGTTACTATTAACAATAATACTGTCAATTCTACTGGCAATAATATAACCAATTTTGCTAAAAATAATACTGACAATTTTGATGGTAATGGAAATTCTAATAATATTACTAACAATTCTGGTGGCAATGGCAATGCTGTTGGTAATAATATAACCAATACTGTTAATAATAATATTGGCAGACACAGTGAAAATATTACTGGCAATCCTGGTGGCGATGGCAATGCTGGTGGTAATAAAACTAGCAATTCTGGTAATAATTCTACCTCATCAGAGATCAACAAATTACTTAAAAATAGTAATACTGCTGATTATAATAATACTACCACTACTGACAGTAATGGCATTACTGTTAACAATAATACTGTCAATTCTACTGCTAATAATATAACCAAGACTGTTAATAATAATATTAGCAAACACAGTGAAAATATAACTGGCAATCCTGGTGACGATGGTAATGCTGTTGTTAATAATACTATCAATTTTGGTAATTGTTTTAATTCAACTTCGTTTAATTACGAAACTAGTATAAACAATACTGTTAATAATATTGTTAGCAATCTTCTCGGTACTGGCAATGCTGTTGGTAATATTACTAGCAATCCTGGTGGTAGTAATATAAGCAATGCATTTAATAATAATACTAGTAGTAATTTCACTGCTGTTGGAAATAACAATGTCACTCTTGGTAATAAAGGCAATACTAATAGTAATATTACTGACAATCCTAATAGTAATAATATGACTGATGCTATTAATAATAATGCTAATAATTCTGGTAATAATTCTACCTCATCAGTGATTGACAAATCTTTTAAAAATAGTAATAATGCCAATAATAATACTAACACTACTGGCAGTAATGGCATTACTGTTAGCAATAATACTGGCAATTCTACTCGTAATAATATAACCATTACTGTTAATAATAATATTGATAAACACAGTGAAAATATTACTGGCAATCCTGGTGGCGATGGAAATGCTATTGGTAACAATACTAGCAATTCTAGTAATAATGGAACTTCTTTTAATAATACAACTGGTATAACCAATGCTGTTGATAGTATTGTTACCAATCTTCTCGGTAATGGCACAGCTGTTTGTAATAATATAACCAAGATTGTTAATAATAATACTGACAATCATAAAGAAAATATGATTATAAAATCTAGTGATAACAGCAGTCGTAGTGCTAATATTACTGACAATTCTGATGGTATTGGCAATGCTGTTGGTAATATTACTAGCAATCCTCGTGGTAAAAATATGACTGATGCTGTTAATATTAAAACTAGCAATTCTGGTAATAATACTACCTCATCAGAGATTGACAAATCACTTAAAAATAGTAATAATCCTGATAATAATAATACTAACACTACTGACAATAAGGGCACTACTGTTAGCAATAATACTGTCAGTTCTACTATTAATAATATAACATCTACCGTTAATAATAAAATTGGCAGACACAGTGAAAATATTACCGGCAATCCTGTTGGAGATGGCAATGCTGTTAGTAATAATTCTAACAATTCTGGCAATAATGGAACTTCTTTTAATAATAAAACTGGTATTCTTGGTGATGATAATTTAGACCATGCTGTTGATAATATTGTTAACAATCTTCTTGGTAATAGCACAGCTGTTTGTAATAATAAAACCAATACTGTTAATAATAATACTGGCAATCACAGAGAAAATATGATTATAAATTCTGGCGGCAACAGCAGTGTTAATATAACTGGCAATCCTGGTGATAATATTATAACTAATGCATTTAAGAATAATACTGGTATTAATTTCAATGCTGTTGGAAATAACAATGTCACCCTTGGTAATAATGGCAATTTTAGTGGGAGTATTACTGGCAATCCTGGTAGTAATAATACGACGAAAGCTGTTAATAATAATAATAATACTGGCAATTCTGTTAATAATACTACATCATCAAATATTGACAAGTCACTTCAAAGTATTAATAATGCTGGTGATAATAATACCAACACTATTGATAGTAATGGCGTTACTGTTAACAATAATACTGTCAATTCTACTCTTAATAATATAACCAGTACCGTTAATAATAATATTGGCAGACACAGTGAAAATATTACCCGCAATCCTAGTGGTAATAATAATTAACTTAACTGCCGTTTGTCTCACTCTGATAGTCTATACGTAAACTTGTTCCGTTATTACTCATAATGATAATTACATAATGATTATTACATAATAAAAATTATGAGTAATAACGGAACAAGTTTTGCATATCTGATAGTCTCACTCTGTTTGCCGCCAATTCAATTAATCTTATTAATAATAAAACAGACAATCTTCATGGAAATATTACTGACAATACTGGCAACAATAATATAACTAATGTCGTCAGTAATAATACTGGCAATTCCGTTGGAAATAACAATGTCACTCTTGGTAATAATGGCAATCCTAATGAAAATATTACATGGAAATATCAAATGTCGGCTAATGCTGTTAATAATAATACTGTCAATTCTACTCTTAATAATATAACCAATAACGTTAATAATAATATTGGCAGACACTATGACAATATTATCGGCAATTCTGGTGGCGATGGCAATCCTAATAGCAATATTACAACCAATACTGGTAGAAATAATATAACTAATTCTGTTAATATAGATACTGCTAATTTTGGTGGTAATGGCAATATTATTGGCAATTTTAATAATATTAATATAATCAATTCCTTTAATAATAATACAAATATTAATTATAATGTTGTTGGAAATAACAATGTCACCCTTGGTAATAATGGCAATCCTAGTGGCAATATTAAAACCAATACTGGTAGAAATAATATAACCAATGCTGTTAATAACAATACTGGCAATCCTAGTGATTTGACTAATTCTGTTAATAATAATACTGGCAATTCTGGTACTATTAATATAATCAATTCCTTTAATAATAATACAATTAGTAATTGTAATGTTGTTGGAAACAACAATGTCACTCTTGGTAATAATAGCAATCTTAATGGTAGTATTACTGGCAATCCTGGTAGTAATAATTTGACGAAAGCTGTTTATAATAATACTGGCTATTCTGTTAATAATACTACTTCTTCAGAGGTTGACAAGTCACTTCAAAGAATTAATAATGCTGGTGATAATAATACTAACACTACTGACAATAATGGCATTACTGTTAACAATAATACTGTCAATTCTACTTTTAATAATATAACCAATACCGTTCATAATAATATTGGCAAACACAGTAAGAATATAATTATAAATTCTCGTGGTAATAAAAGTCTTAGTGTTAATATTACTGGCAATCCTGATAGTAATGGCAATGCTGTTAAAAATAACAATGTCACTCTTGGTAAAAATAGCAATTCTAATGGAAATATTACATGGAAATATAAAATGTCAACTAATGCTGTTAATAATAATACTGGCAATCCTAGTGGTAAAAAGTCAACTAATTCTGTTAATAATAATTCTGGCAATTCTAGTGGTAAAAGGTTAACTAATGCTGTTAATAATAATATTGGTAATCCTAGTAGTAAAATTTTGACTAATGCAATTAAGAATAATACTGGCAATTCTCGTGGTAAAATGTTTACTAATGCTGTTAATAATATTACTGGCAATCCTGGTAGTAATGGCAAACTTATTGGAAATATTACTCACAATTCTGGTAATAATGGAACTATTGTTAATAATAAAACTGGCCATCTTATTAGTAATAATATAGACAATGCTGTTGATAATATTATTGGGACTATTATTGGTAATGGCAATCCTGATTGTAATAAGACTGGCATTTTTGGTGGGAATACAAGGGACAATATTATTGGCAATTCGGATAATAATAGAAATGGCGTTGGTAATAATACTAGCAATTCTGGTGGTAATGGAAATGTTAATAATAAAACTGTCAATCCTAGTGGTCATAATAATACTAACAATTTTTATAAAAATACTACAGTAAATTCTGACGGCAATAATATTAACCATTCTAATAGTAACAGTACTGGCGATTCTGATGTTAACACTGCTACAATCCTTGATGATAAAGCTAATAACAATTCCGATGGTAACACTACTGACAATCCTGATGCTAACATTCTTAAAAACTCGAGTGGTACTGACAATCTTGATGGTAACACTACTGACAATCCTGTTGATAACACTACTAAAAATCCTAGCAGTAATACTACTAACAATCCAGGTAGTAATAATATTGGCAATGCTGTTAATAATAAAACGTACAATCCTGTTGGTAATATTACTCAAATTAATTGTAATAATACTGCTAATGCTACTGATATTAAAATTTTTGACAATCATCATCGACGTAAAAGTAATAGCATGTTATATTTATTAAAACAAAAGTAATAAATATTTGTTATTATAATTTTATTTTTAATACATTTTATTTCATACATTAATTCATTTATGACTAATTATTAACAAATAAAATTTATTAAGTTTTAAAATCAATGTTAATCATAATAATTTAATTAGAATAAAATGATCACGCAGTTTTTACATTTACGCTCCGTGTGGCCGATTAGGTGGTCTATTTTTGATTAGATCTAGTTTAGTTAAGAAATAATTTTAATTAAATATTATGTATATTAAAGCTATTGATATTTTGAAAAGACACTCACTTGAACAGAGTATATTCCACATGTTGTTCACCATGGTTTAAATATTAAATAGGAAACTTTAATTTTTTATAGTAATTAAATTTTGTTAAATGTTATAATTAATTAAATGTAAGATATTACATAAATGTAAACTTACTTACTATGGTATAATTTTTATTAAATTATAATTATAATTTACTATTTGTAGGCAAATATAATTTGTTTAAAAATTTTTAATAGCTTGTAGGTTTTAATTTATAAATTTATTAATATGTAGTAAAATCAAAAATAATATAATTGCAAATTATAGATTGGGTTTAAGTGATCTTGGTTTATAAATGACTACATCATATGTTTTCAGCAATTTGACAAACAAGGCTAATATAATGTTAATATTAGCTTAATTTTTAAATAATTAGTACAATAAATTTATCAATGTGAACTTTTAATCATATAATTATTGCTAAATGTGAACTATATTATTACAATTATTAGTTGTTTGTGTTTTACTGCAAACATTATAAACTGTAAATAAATATATTGTTTATTCTATAAATTACCAAAGTAAACTTATTTATTTAATAATGGATATACTTAAACAATTCAATTTTCTGATCAATTTTGCCTTGATATAATTTTAATAAATTATATATTTGTTACAATTGTTAGACTTAAATTGTAAAATTAAAATCACATCTAACTTATCCAAATACATCATTTAAATACAATATAATAAAAATAATACAAATTTTCTTATAATCTAATGATTAAAAAATTAAAATAAATATAACTAAAATTACTCTAGCTGTCAAATTAAATTATGTATCAATACAGTATCTATTTATATTGAATCTATTCAATAGATCGTTCATGATATTAAAATAGCAAATTAATAAAAATAATTTTAATAATGTAAATATTTTTAATGATGTATCATACGTTCCATACGGTTTACTTGCGCCGATTCCCACTCTTCCAGGTATCGCAAATCCTCTTCAATTTTGACAAAGTCATCGACACTGACCACAACAGTTAGCACCACATTTTTCATTGTAGCTAGGTCAGTTTCCGTGCCACGAAGTTCCTTCAGTTCGGACGAGTTCTTCAAAATAGTGGTCTCGAAGTGCTTCACATCGGACTCCACTTTGGCCTCGAGTGCGTCAATACGTGCCGTGTATTTGGCTTTCAGTCGCTCCAACTCCGGGTCCACTGGTTTAGCGCTCACTGTTTTATGGGTTACATAATGTGTTAATTGTAAACATTAAGTATATTAAAATTGTTGTGCCATTTATGTTTAAATACAAATATGCAACATGTGCGTCGTTTTCTAAACTTTTCTAAACTTACCAAGAGCAATTATGGCTAAGGAAACAACTAATATGTATTTCATCGTAAACGAAATGTTAATTAAATATTTTCTATAAATCTTTTAGCAAATTATTAAGAGTTGTAATAATTATTTAAAGTAATTGTCGCGTATTTATATGTATTGATTACAGGATAGTTAATATCATGCTTACGCACAGAAAACAACAATCACATGATATTATAGTATTAGTGGCCAGTTATGAGAATCCGGACAAAATATGTAAGCTTAATTATAATATCATCAATTAAGTGATGGACTATGATAAGTTTAATTGTTTGGTACAGGACATATTTGTTTGTTCCTGGTTACTATCCTATGTAAGTGATTGTAATAGTCGGGTATTTTATTTCTGCTTAAACTAGCATCCTATTATAAAAATTGCAAATTACCAGTTGTATAATAAGTAAGCATGGCTAAATTAATATCGGATCAATTAATTATTTTTAGTTTTATAACTTTTATACCTTATGTGGTTAAAATTTAGCCTTTTAAATGTATAACAATACAGCTAACAATTATACTTGTAAAATTTATATATTTATTAATAAGTAAGTTTATACGGAAAATTAATTTATGTTAATTGAAATAAATGTGCTTTATGTAACTATAAATATTGTGATTGATAAAAAGTAGAATTACACAATAAAAATATTTCCCAATTTTAATCTATGTTTAAATAAACATTGCATCTAATTTAAACATTAATTAACGAAGCAGGCATAGACCCACAGCACTTTTGGTGAACAATCTTAATTGTTTATGAATGTGAATTTATTGAAAATTACATTCAAATGTAGGAGAAATACTTAAATCAAATTAGTTGCTATAACTTTATATTTCACATATCTATTATTTAAATATTTATTACAATTTTTAATCTAAAACAATTATTTGTAATTATTTATACGCGAGGGTATGTATAGAATAGCCATTGAATAAGTAATAGGCAAGTTTTATTTGTTTTGTTTTATTAATCATACCAATGTTTATTACATGTGAGACATGAAATTGTAACATAACATTAGTGACCAGTACCGGAATCGTGACAAAATGCGTAACTTAAATTGTAATAACACGGATTAATAGATGCACTATGATCAATTTTATAGTTTATAAAAGTACTTATTTGTTTGTTCCTGGTTACAATTCAATGCAAGCAAATGTAATAGTGATTTATTAAGTTTGAATTTACACTCACATTTTGTTATAAATATGATAAGTTACCAGATTTTATTTACTTTTTTAACGCCTAAACTTAGCTTAATTAATCTCGATTCAATTATTTATTAGCTACATGTTAGCGCTTTATAATAATAGTTTAACAAATGTTGTGGATATTTAATTGTCTAATTAAAATATTTAATAACAAATTGTTTATATTGAAAACTCAAATGAAATTTATGTAAATTGAAATAAATGTGCATTTTGTAATTATAAGTTACTTATTTATTATTACAAAATTATATTTGCATGATAAAAAATATTTCCCATTTTAAATCCCATTAAAGAACAGAATGATTTATGGTGAATTACAATTCTTATAAATACTTGCTTATGAATCTAGATTCATTGGCAACTACATGTAATAATGACATACATATAGTGAATGGGAAATACTTATTGTTGATTAATCACTAAAACTTTATATTTTACTCATTTTTCACTCCAATATTTTGTTACAGTTTTTAATTCAAAATACTGAATTCATTTACACATAAATTCTCTCTCTCTCTCTCTCTCTCTCTCTCTCTTATTCACTTATAAGAATAATGATAATTACAATAATATCATAATTTATTAGTTAAAATCACAACAATTTCAAAACATACAAATTACAGAAACATTTGCATAAAAACAAAATAAAAATATATCTAATTTGTCTATTATTATTAATAAAATTTATTAATCATAGCTTAATTAAAACATTAACCATAATAATCAATTTAATGGTGCAGCTTATCCTCCATACGGGCCACCTGTGAGGGTTCCCAATCTTCCAGGTAGGTCATTCTGTCTCCAATTGGCTCGAGATCGTCCGGACTGATCACCTTGGTCAATTCCACTTTGTGTTGTTCGAGTTCAATGCGGGTGTCTTTCAATTCCTTTTGGTCGGACGAGTCCTTCAATATAGTTGTGTCGAAGTGTTTGATATCCGCCTCCACTTTGGCCTCGAGTGCGTTAATACGTGCCTTCATTACGGCTTTCTGTCGCTCCAACTCATCGTCCAGTACTCGTCCAGCGCTCACTGGTTTGGGTCACATATCATATTCATTAACATCATGATCATTTTGACAAATATAATTAATTAATTAATTAATTGCTGCACATGTAGATTAAGTGATTAGTTTATAAACTTACCGAGAGCAATTATCGCTAAGAAAACAACTAATATGTATTTCATTGTTATTTAAAAGTAGTTTAATAAAGTAAATATTGTACTAATTGTGTGCAATAATTGTCGAGTATTTATATGTTTTAATTAAGTAATAGTTAATCCCTTATTATGTATGGAATATGAATAAACATGATATGATAATAATTTATTATTGAAATTTTATGAGAAAACGGACCTTATGTTTAAATTAAATCGCGATAGAATTGTTTATAAAATGTATTATGATTAATTAAAAAATTATATTTATACTGATTAGCACTGTCTATTCCTGAAGACAATACAATGCAATTATTTTATATGTATTAAATTTTGCTCTATATTGCCATAAATCCTAATGTTTTATAAAGCGGAGGATACATTTAATATATGATAATTTATCGCTGATAAATAAATGTAATTTATTTTTATTAAGTCTATTTTATTTAAATAATCATAATAATGTAAAATATGTCATTTGTGTAAATAATTACAATTCACTTATTGTAATCATTATAGTGTAATATTTAAAAATATGCTAAATTACATTATTGTAATATTGCAAATTTGGTAAACATTAGAAGTTATGAGTTTATTATTATAAATATTTTAACTAAATAAATTGTTTTATACAATATAACATTAATTATTAAAATCATATATTTATTTGTACTATAATGAAAATACATTTAATAACAATTGGTGCAAAATTAAATTATAAATAGTGAGTTACAATAATTAACAAAAATATTTCTTAATATTTAAATAGCCATAAGCTTTTTAAGCGAGTTTGTTGCTCATGAATGAAATTCATTGACAATAGAGTATATTTGGGAAATACTTATTATTTATAAATTACTTCAACTTTTTATTTTACACATTATATACTCCACTATTTTGTTACAGTTTATACTTAAAATACAACAATCTCTCTCTTTCTCTCTCTCTCTCTCTCTCTCTCTCTCT